GAGTCACTTTAAACAGTGGAACTGGGCTAGCAGTGTTACGAAAGTGAAAACAACAATGCTGACTTAAATGCCCTCTTTAATGTTCTCTGCACCCAAACGTTAGCATTAAAGCTAATGTACGATGTCTTTTTCTTTTTTACCCATTTAGTTTTGTGATTTTTGCTCAGCCTGTGACACATTTGTTTCTTCTCCCGCCTGTACGGCTGTACAACATCATGTAAGTGCAAATGTAAGTAACCCAGTTTGTCTCGCTTCTGCTTCATCTTGCTTTTCGTTTGCAGTGCATTTCCAATCAAACACTTAGTAACCATTTCTCTGTTATCCCACTGTGGACCACATCTGTAAATCCCATTTGCTTTGTGATTGAAGGTTCATGTTTTGAATCTTTTCCTCTACACATGATCTCTGACTTTTGTCAGTGCACAGATTTTGTCCCAGCTGGCTACAACAGTCTGTCTGACCACGAGCCAGTCGAATCACAGCAGAACAAAGTCAAACAGACTGCCTGCTTCACTGGCTGGAAGTAAAATGCTTCCTCCTACTACCTCCTCACAGCCGTCTGGTTGACAAACAAATGCCACTTCATCATGACTTGATTCGGGACCTGATTTGTCTCTTATTACCCCTTTAACTGCTTTCAGCAGAGGTAGGTAATTGAAGCCAAACATTTCTCTTGGACTCAGAACAAACTTTATACCCACTGTAAGTAAGTTGAGCAGGTCTGTGTTGGCATCGACGTTAGGTGGCGTGGCCTGGATGAGCGCCAGCTCTTGAAGGATAGCGTACAGCTGCTGGGTTTTTGCCAGGTTGACTCGTGTCTTCTCTTTGTCGGCCCAGTCTGGCAGTGCCACATGCACGGCTATCAGGTCTTTCAGGTGCACGCCAAGAATTGGGAATCGGAAGCCGGAGCATTCAGAAAAACGCTTGCGGTACTGACTGTAGTTGCCACATGATGTCACCAGTTCAATTAAGTTGTTAAAAACCTGTCGTAGAGTGAAAGGAATATAGGTTTGAGGAGCAGAAAAGAGAACGCCTGTCTCAGAAAAGATTGATTTGGAAGCATCACAAATGTTGTCGAAAACTTTGCTCCAGATGGACTTACATAACTGTAACTCGCCCAACTGTTGCGTTTAACTTTCTAGTCATGTGGCTCAAATTCATAGTTCTAAAAAGACACTGTGTAGGAGTAATGGGCACAGACAGGGAGCTTGGTACCGCTTACACAGAAGATGCTGAATACTCAATCAGGAAGCATTATCACTTATTAGCTCAGCGCACAGACATGCAGCGAACATTGAATTTGTCTGGTAGCGCCTGGTTGCGGTTGCCAGAAATAGAAGACAGATGGCTGCAGCTACTGCACCTTGTTGGTCTCTGCACTGATGTGGGCCTGCGTGTCTTTGAGACGAGAGATGGAGCTGTTGCTGAGGCCGCCCACAACCGCCATGAGTGTATTGAAGTTCTGCAACTGTAGCAGCTTCTGTGAACGGAGGAGGAAGAAATATTAGGAGTGAGGGTGAAAGAAGAGATATTTTATGAATGTGCAAGACACTGCCAAGAGCAAGCTGGCCAAATTTTTTTTT